AAGTGAGGCTTGGCCAAAAGGTATATCAGAGCCCAGAGTAGGGAGGTGAAGACGAGTGTCCACACCTGGCTCTCTTTAATAAAAATTTATTTTATATTGGTTTGCATACAAAATTTGTATATATTACTTATCATTCATGTACATTGTGTTTAACATGTTCCTTCATTCACATTTTGTTTTAGACGATCACTCATATGTTGTTGTTGTTGTTATGTGCCGTCGAGTTGCTTGCGACTCATAGCGACCCTATGTACAACAGCCCTAAACCCTGCTCTATCCTGTGCCAATCTCATTGCCTCTGACACACTCATCCCAATTACCCCAGTCACTGAATCAATCCACCTCATAAAGGGTCTTCCCCTCCTGCGCCGTCCCTCCTCTCTGCCCAGCATGATGTCCCTCTCCAAAGACCTGTCTCTCCTTACAACATGTCCAAAGTATGTCAGGTGAAGCCCCAGAATCCTTGCCTTCAAGGAGCAGTCTGGTTTACCCTCTCTAGGATGAATCTATTTGTTTTCTTGGCAGTCCATGGTACATTCAGTACTCTTTTCCAGCACCACAGCTCAAAGGTGTCAATTCTCCTTCTGTCCTCCCTAGTCATTGTCCAACTCTCTGATGCATAACAAGTGATTGCAAGTTTTTTCTAAAATTAATCACCATTTATTTATGCATGTTATTACCCTGTATTTTCAAGTTCTCATTGGATCTTTTCTAATTCCTTCACCACCATCCACCTGCCTGCCCCTCTCCCCTTACTCTTTTGGGCTTTTATCCATATCTTACTAGTTATTTGTCTGTTTTCACAATAATGGTCTCATGCAGTAAAGGAAGACATACTCAAAATCACTGGCGATAAAAGAGATGCAAATCAAAACCACAATAAGATACTGTCTCACTCCAGTAGTACAGCCGAGTTTAACAGGACAGCAAGCAATAAATGTTGGAGAGGATGTGGGGAGATTGGCGCTCTCATGCACAGCTGGTGGGATTATAGAATGGTTTAGCCACCCTGGAAGGCAATTTGGCATTTCCTCACAAAGCTGAACATAGAAATCCCATATGACCCAGCTATTCCAGTACTAGAAATATACCCTGAGACAGAAACAGAGATTTGTACACCTATGCTCATAACAGCATTATTCACAACAGGAATAAATTGGAAACAGCCCAGATGTCCATCAACAAATGAATGGCTTGGGAAATTATAGTACAGTCATGTACAGAATGGTATGGCACTAAGGAGCAAAAATTTTGTAAAATATAACGTGGGAGAGTCTAGAGAGCATTATGCGGAGTGAACTAACTCAATCTCCTAAGGACTGCATAAGACTGGCCCTCTTATGGCCTTTGTTTTCTGAACCTCAATTTATTTACCTACAAAATGAGGACAAAGTAGTGTTCTCTAAGTTTCAGCCACTGTTAGGGACAATCTTTTTATTAAGATATTAGAGCTCTCTTATAGGAATATAAGAGTAAAAAATGGAATGCCCATATTCCTGCTAAGCAAAATTAACTGTTGTTAACCATTCTTATATTTGTTTAAACTTTTTTCCAAAGAGATGTGACAGTCCAGTTAATGCTCACGACCAACATGCACTCATTTTAATGCACTCACTCATCAGGCAGTCTCTGCTTGAGTGTGATCAGAACCTTTCTCTTTCTGATTCTTTGGAAGGTGAAGTACTGTCTCATACATTCCACACGAACCTCTCTGCTCTGTGGCTAAGGTAGGGTGGGTGGTGGCCCTGTTCTGCAGGTGAGGATACTGATGCCCAAGGACACATAAGTGCTGCACTCCGATTCTTTGTGTCTTAAATGTGCGCACAGAAGTGGGTTTGAGGGAGGCCTGGGAACCAAACCAGACAGCTGAAAGTGACAGTTCTGCTGGTACCAGGAAAATCAAACCAGTCTTCTAACCACTGTATATGTGTGTGTGTACTAAAATTTATGGAACAAACATTGGCCCTTTAGATGCTACTAAGTGTATAATCCAAACCCAAACCCGCCCCTGTTGAACGGCTTCTGACTTCTGAGGACCCTGTGGCACAGCGTGGGCCTGCCCTGTGGGGTTACCAAGGCTATGATCTTGGCAGAACCAAAGTGACCACACATTTCTTTCACAGAGAGGATGGTGGGTTCAAACCACTGATCTTTTATGTGGCTGTTGAGTATATTATCCAACACTGGGTCTCCCTGTGTACAATCCAGTGATGTTGATTGCTGCCTTTTGACCATCTTAGTGAGCTCTGGTGGGTAGCCTAGTGGCAAAGGAGCTGTGCTGCCAACCTGAAGACACGCAGTTTGAATCCACCAGCCGCTGCACAGGAGAAAGATGGGCAGTCTCCTCTGGAAACCTGCTGGAGGATCAGCTGACTTGGTTCTGCCTTGACAATGAACAGCAACAACAGGGAGCCCACCCGCCCTCCTCCTGCTTCAGAGATGCCCTGAAGCAGACATAGCTGGGTGAGACGGGAGCAGGGCAAGGCCGCCTTCTGTCACAGAGGGGCGCTCTGTTGCTGAGCACTAGCAGTCCTTGGCATCTCCTCGCCCTGCATGACATGCATTATATCATGCTGTGCCGTCCCCAGAGCCACCAGTGAGGCTGAGGCACCAGTGGAGGTGAGTGGGGTGTGGTGTTTACCCCAGTCCTCCAGCCCTGTGCAGGACAGAATCATAACAGTCCCCCTGGGACTGCCCCCTGTGCATCTCTGAGGGTAGATTGAGTGGCTCTGCTAGATGGCTGGCTGCCAGCAGAGGTTGTTTTATCTTATCTGCACGCTGCATTCTGGCTGAGGTGTCAGGCCTCAGGGAGCAGAGGAGGGACTGTCTTAAGAAAGTGATGAATCACCCATCCCTGCCTCTGGAGAGAGCTGTGGCAGGAAGAAGATGCCCACAGCTGTGCACAGACCCTGGGCATTGGAATTGCCCTTGGCTGCCTGCCTTCTTCCCAGAAGGTGAGCCCTCAGAGCTAACCCTTCCTGACAGCGGCTGTTCCAGCATCCACAGATGCTGGGTGGATACAGCTGAGCCCACACTGAACTAGTGATATTTGGTATACACTTATACACTGGGTGAAATACAGCACACTGTAAAACTGGTGGTGGTGGTGGTGGTGGTGGTGGTGGTGGTGGTGGTTGTGTGCTATGGAGTTGGAACCAATCAACAGCTGACTGGGTTTTCAGAGGCAGTAAATCACTTAGAAGGAGAGTAAATCACTTAGAAGGAGAGTGCCGAGGAGCAGCTGATGGATTCGAACGGCATGCCTTCAGGAGTGCAGTGCAACTGTTGCTAGTTGTCATCAAATCGCTCTGACTCATGGTGACCTCATGTGTAGATAGTAGAAGTGCCCCATAGGGCTTTCAGAGTTGTGAGCTTTTGGAAGCGGATCACCTGACCTGTCATTAGAGGTCATTAGGTGGGTTCAAACCACCAACCTTTCTGCTAGTAGTCACTCTCTTAAGTATTTGAGCTATTATCTCTGGGCTTATGTCCTGTTTCTACTGGACAGGGTTACCTTAGGGTGTATATAAATGCTTAATGCAGGAGACACAACAATAGGGGTGTTTTCCAGCTAGCTTCCTTCCAACCGCTAGTGGGTGGCACAGCCTGAGGCAGGGCTGGCCCAAGGTGGGAGGAAGAACTTGAGCCTTCTCCAGCCTGAACTAGGGAAGGCCTGCTGTCATCTGTCTTTATTTATTCTGATTCTGCCAAACTTAATTGACCCTTGGGAGTAAGCGAGAAGAAATGTTGCTGTTCCAGTTTTATTCTTGAGGTTCAGAGAGAGAGAGACAGGTGGGATTTATAGCCTTCGACCCCTTGTTCCCTCCTGAGGGTATTGAACGCAAAGATGGAAGCAGAAAATGAATTGACTTTTGAAAGTATTTAAAAAAATATAATTATTTAATTATCTAGTGCTGTTTTAGGGGAGCTCTGGTGTCTCGGTGGTTGGCAGTTGCTCTGCCAGCCCAAAGGCATGTGGTTCAAGTCCACCAGCTGCTGGCATGCTGGAGAAGGATGGACAGTCTCCTGTGTAATTTACTGTGTCTGAAAATGGGCTGGAGGGTCAGCTATGAGTCCGTATTATGGCAAGTTCTGCTATAATAGAGATGCCACAAGCGAGTGACTTTAACAATTAGAAATTTATTCTCTTACATTTTTGGAGGCCAGAAACCCAAATTCAGAATGCCACGTCTGGGGAAAGGCCCTGCTCTTTTGCTCTCTGGCTCACTCTGTCTCTCTCTCTCTCTCTGTGTGTCTGTCTGTCTCTCTCACTCTGTCTCATCTGTAGACCAGGCATTCCCTGGTGACATCAATATGTTCCCTTCATCAGTGGCAGGAAGCATCCTTTCTGGTGCAGGGGCCCAGATCCACTCCTGAATGTTCTCTTCGTCTTGCTTTTTCCACAGGCTGTCTCATTCTCATCTGAAATAATCCCACCAATTATTAACTTACTGATATATGATCATTAACTTGCTGATATATCTATCGACTTACTCTCCATCTTGATGAAAATATGAGCTCCCTTGTGCCAAGACTCCACTTTAAGGATCATTGTTATGACAGTGATGACTGTTAAATGCAGTGGGAACTGTTTGGGGTGGATTGCCCATGACTTCTGTGAGCTGATCCAGGCAGAGATGCTGGAGGAACACAGCCCCCCCTCCTTGAACCATGTGTCACCTCGCTGGTATCACAGGCACTTTTCCTGCTGTGGCAGGGCTGTGCTGCACATCTGTAAAATGATCTTGGGGATGTTCCACGTCTCTGGAACACACGGATTATTTCCCAGTGCACAGCCTACTGCTTTGTGTTTGCTCCATGGAGCCTAAGTTCACAGGGTCTAAAGCCAGATTGTTGAGGTCTCTTTGGAGGGACATCTAGCTATATTTAAGTCCAGGGTGGAGACCCAGGTCAGGAACAACAGCTGTGGCACATGGTCCAGCTCTGCTGCTGACTGTGTAGCCACATGGAATAAAAGCTTGTCTGTGCTTTCACTGCAGGTCATCTACTCGGCCAGAGGTAGCCAGCATAGAGCCACTGGACCCCAACCAGCAGCAGTGCTCCCAGAAGGCCGTGGTGCAGGCCCGCCTGACCCAACCCACTCGCCTGACCAGCATCATTTCCGCGGAGGACATCAGTAAGGACTTCGGGGACTGGGGTGATCACTGCATTGTCAGGGGACAAGAGAATGGGAGTATACTGCTTGGCCTTACTTCTTGACTCTGGGGCACTGGTGCTACCCACCCCAGTCAAGAAGGGTCCATGGAGCAAGCTGCACCCTGTCTTGGTCACCTGTGGTCAGCATTCTGCACTGTGTTCCCTCTCGTGGACACCAGCTTTTCCTTCCAAATGCTTGCCTGTTATCCACACTTGATACGCTTGATATCAAATGGAAATTTAAAATCTTGGTGGTGGTTGTTGTGTTGGAAGCAGGAGTGACATCCATTTCCTAAACAAATCTTGGTTATAGTCCAAGAATTTGCTTCCTTTTCTCTGTGATTAATATACTGCATTGAGTTTGCAGAATATTTAAAAACAATTGACTTAAGTTTCTATCATGTTTTTGCTTCCTCCTTATTAACTAGAAAAAGTTTTGCATTTTAAAATAAAGTTATTTTTAGTAGCTAAATAATATTCTTCACAGGAGGGTTTCCTGTGAGCACTCACCTTATACTGTACATTGAGATTGTTTTCTGGGGTTTGTGTCAATGCTGTCTGTAAAAATAAGTAGTATTATATCGGAAACTCTTTTGGGGTCTTTGAGGTTTTCTCCCCCGTCCTCAGGATAGACAAGGTCACAGTATCTGTACACTTGTATGGATTTTGAAAAATGAACTAGATTGGTTACCCACAAAGTACCCTTTCCCACTCAGACTTAACAGTGCACAAGTGTTTTCCTTTGCTGTCTGGACAGTGGTCAGGAGCTCTGGTGGCCTAGTGCTTTATGCAGGTTCTGCTAGCTGAAAAGTCAGTGGTTTGCATCCAGCTGCTTAGAAGGATCTAGAGGGGCCAGGTCTCCTCCCTTTAAGTCATATAACCTTAGACCCTGATGGTGGATTGCAATGAGTCAGAATCCTCCTAGCGACAGTGGGTGCATTTGGACAGTGGCCTGAATGATTTTGTATCTGCTTACAGTTGTCCTCAAGTTAGGTAATTTATATCTTTCTTCTAGAACAAATGGGGGGGAAAATACACATGTGTGCACCCGTACCCTTCCCCTCCCATAGTAAGGTTGATATTCTTGTGTAAGAAAACTGGTGGCTCACGGAGCTGCACTGCTCACCCAAAGGCCATACCTCGCTGACAGTTCAAATCCACCAGTGTCTCCACAGGCCAAGCATGGGCAGTCTCCTCGTGGGATTTACAGCCTCAGAAACCTGTTGGAGAATCAGCTGGGAGTCATTTACAAACTCAGAGCTAATCCTCCGGCGAGTTTTCAGAGGCTGTAAATTACATGGGAATGAATTACTCATCTTTCTCCCTCAGAGCAGCTAGTGAATTCACCTGGCTGGGTCGGGGTTGGTAGCCCAAATCCTTACCAGTTAGCCCACCTGCAATGTATTTTGAAAGTCTTCAGTCCTAGTTTCATTGTAGGAATGTGGTGTGTTTTCAAGGCAAACCTGTCTTTTTAATATTGTACAAAACCAAATGTTATTAGTACATAGTTTTAATTACCAGCAGTCAAGTTGTAATAGCATGGAATATACAATGGAAAAGCCTCCCTGAATAGGAACTCAAGTAGCATGGTGACAGGCTGCTAACCATAAGGTCAGTGGTTCGAATCTACCACATACTCTGTGGGAGAAAAGATGGGCAGTCTCCTGTAAGGATTTACAGCCACAGGAGCCTGAGGGAAGGGTTGCTCTGAGTCAGAATCAGTTCCAAGGGTAATGGGTTTGATTTTCACCTTGAACTTCCCGAGGGATATGTGTGTGCGCCAGCATTTTGGTGTTTGAGGGTTAGTTTGGTGCTTTGCTGTAGCTTTGTATTGTTAGTCTGTTGGTTCCTTAGTCTTTTCCAGTGTGAGGGGAGCAGGTGAGGCAGGGCACTTTGTGGGTGCTCACCCCTCTTTCTGTGTCCCCAGCTACTGGACAGGTCTTGCGCTGTGATGCCATTGTTGACCTCATCCACGGCATTCAGATTGTCTCCACCACCCGGGAGCTCTACCTGGAAGACTCGCCCCTCGAGTTGAAGATCCAGGCTCTGGACTCGGAAGGTGAGTCTGCCCCCAGGGACAGTGCAGAGCCTCAGCCATCTCCACAACCAGGGTGTCTTCCTGTTTCTCTGCTCCTCTGTCCAGCCCCGCCTGCTCCCTGCATTCCTGTGCCTGCCTTGTGCCTGCATCCTGCTTTTCCTCTCAGTATTCCTGTCGTTACCCCAGAGCGACTTCCTAGACCACCCTCACTCCTCTAAGTGACCCCAGGCATCGTCACCTGGGAGGCCTCCACCCCTAAGGATGCTGCTCCTGTTAGGAACCCATGTTCGGCTTTGGTTGCCCTGCCCCCAGTTAACTTGCCTTTAAGCAGTAGTACCAGTTTTTAGTAGTGCCATGTTGTCCCTACTCCCAGTCCAGGAAAATCTAGACCCTTACCCATCTGGGCATGAGGGGGCCTGGAGTTGAGCCTGATAATTTGGAACCTCTCTTGGCCACAGGAGGTGCTGGGAGAGGTTGAGTGGTAGATGCCACCTCTGAGGAGGGCCTGTGCCTTCCGTGATGTTGAAAACCACAGCCAGCCTTCAAACTCAGTGACAACTGCAGCAAGACCTGTTTACTTAGTGCTTTGGAGACCCTGAACTCTGTCCGTGGTCAGGTGCTTCCCTGGGTGGTAGAACAGATGTTAGCAACCGGGTTGCTGAGCTGCCTCTGAGGAGTAGGAGGAAGCTGGGGGCATCCCTGGAGACCACACTATAATGCTGAGACTCTCCTCCTTGGCTTGGTGGCTGGCTTGGCTCCTTGTCACTCTTCACAGCTGGTGGCCAGGCTCCTCTGTACTGCCGCCTCAGGACACTGTCCTTCAAACCTTTGCTCTACTAACATGACTCTTGGCTCTGTCCCCAGAATCCTTCTGAGTGGATCCGCCTGTTCTGGTGGTGGTCCAAATGCCTCTCCTCCTGGTAATGCCATTAGGGGAGACTTGGAAGGTTAAGGTTTTTGTTGAAGAAGGCACAAGGATCTTCTCAGACTTCAAAGCCAAGTTACGCTTCACCTTGTCTCTGAAACATTTCTTGGCCATTCTTGCTATCATGTTTTCATTTTCTAGATCAAGATTTTTCTTGACGCAGATATTGTTGACATTCTGGCATAGACAATTCTTTGCTGGGAGGATAGGCCTGCCCTGGCCACTGGAGTATGGTTGTCTACCAGTTGCCAGTAATATTTACCAAGTCATGTCCCTGAACTTTGCCAGATGTCCCCTGAGAAGACTGTCATCTGCTAGTTCTTTTTTGCCTCCATTTATTTATTTATCAGATAAGCTTCTTAACTTTATGAAACTTTTCTGATTTGTGAAATTGCTCTTGTGCTACTTCTCTTGGTTGTAAAGGTTGCATGAGGCAAAGAAAATTCTTAGTCCTCTATACTTGGTACACAGTGAGCCTTCAGTCAGCAGGAACACTTCCTATATCCTAGGTCAGGCAAGAGGGATGTGGCAGAGGTAGGGACACAGCCTCTCGCCCGGTGCATCAGCCATGGGAAATACACCTGCAAATCAAAGCTTTCATCTGTGTAAGTAGATTCAGTTTGCAGTCTGATTGCATGCAAAGTGTAGCAAGGCCCTGGATGAAGAAAGGCAGGAGGAGAGACGGTGAGGACAGGTTTCTCAAAAGTGACGGTGTTTGAGTTCAACTAGAGGGAATGTGGAGTTTGTGAGGCAGGAGCAGGAATTTCTTAATCAGTGCTCAGCCAGGCTGACAAAACCGGAAGCGCGGAGGAGTCTGTGACGCGGCCACAGGCAGGAGTGGGGTTTGCTCTTTGTCTTTCAGCAGGGTGGGTGGAAGAGGCTGTTTGGACATTACCAACTGCTCTTGGGAACACCATGTCCAAGTTGAGGTCACATAGGCACTGGAATGCCTTTCAGCTGTCAACTTGGTTTGTGTGTGTCACCAGGGCACAGAGGGTATAAGAATGTCCATGCACACAAAGGAGAAATGCAGGAGAGCCAGAATCCAACTCCAGCCTGGCTCCAAAATGCATACTTTTGACCAGGTGTCAGCGAACTTTGTCTGTGAAGGGCCAGCTAGCTAATGTTTTAGCTTTGCCACCATAGACAATATTTGACTGAATGCATGAAGGGATGTGCTAAATTACACTGCACTTATAAAAATGGGCAGCAGTCCAGGCTTGGCCCAGGGCTCATGGTTTACCAGCCCCTGCTCTTGACTACTCTTTTCTCTTTCTTAAGTCACTTTTTAAAATAGTGGAGAAAATATGCACGCTAAAACATACTTTAGTGCAATAATCGCACATTGAGAATTCAGTAACAGTGATTACACCTTGTGCCAACGTTGTGCATTTACTTTTCCAAAATATTCCACCAGTAATCATAAATTTATTGCTCTTCAAACAGAAACTGCCTTTTATCTCTCCTTCCCACTCCTGATAACTACCTTTGGTGTCTAATAAAACAATCATCTCTGGTGTATAAATATTTACCTAGGACTTCTGGTTTCACCCCCATAACCCATAGAGCATTGCACTGCTAATTCCAAGGTGGAGCCTCTCTGGCAATTTGAATCGTCCAGCGGCTCTGAGGGGGAAAGATGGGCCATCTCTTCCTGTGCAGTTTACAGCCTCTGAAAACCCCCTGGAGGGTCAGCTATGAGTCATTTCTGACTCAGTGGCAGGAATTGTTATATGTTTGCTTGTTTCATCTAAGTGATGCCATATTGTATTAGACCTTGTCGCAATCAGCAGACTTTCAGGGATCATTGTGTTGAAGCATGAATTAGGACCTCATTTCTCTTTATTGTTGTTGTTATGTGCCATCAAGTTGCATGTGAATCATAGTGACCCTATATACAACAAACAGCTCTGAGCATTACCCTATCCTGAGCCTGTCTTACTGACTCCAACACACTTAGCCCCATGACCCCAGTTACTGTGTCAATCAATCTCATCCAAAGTCTTCCTCTCCAGCGCTGTCCCTCTACCCTTCTAAGCATGATGTCCTTCTCCAAGGACAGGTCCCTCCTGGTCGCATGCCAAAAGTATGAGACAGAGTTTAAAAATCCTTGCCTCCAAGAAGAAACTTGGTTTCACCTTCACTAGGATACACCTGTTTGTTATCTTGGTGGTCTGTTCTATGTTCAATACTGTTCTCCAGCACCACAGCTCAAAGGCATCGATTCATCTTCTGTCATCCTTAGTCATTGTCCAGCTCTCTGCTACATAACCCCTAATTACGAAGACTGTAGCTTGGATCAGGCACACCTTGGTGTCTAGACTGCATCATTGCTCTTTAGCACTTTGAAGAGGTCCCTGACAGCAGACTTGCCAGTGCAGTTTCTCTTTTTATTTCCTGCCTGCTGGTGCCAAGAATGTTGACTGTGGTGCTGAGTAACCTGTAATTGTTAACAATCTTAGTCTCTTCTTTATCCATCATGGTGCTGCCAAGTGGCCCAATGGTGAGAATCTTTGTCTTGCTGTTGAGCTGTAATCCATTTTGAAGACTACCATCCTTGAATTTCTGCAGCAAATACTTCCAGGCCTCTTCAGTTTCAGCAGACAATGTTATTGTGTCATCTGCATAATGCAGGTTGTTTGATGAGTTTTTCTCCAACCCCAATGCCCTATTCCTCCTCATAAAGTCTAGCCTCCTGAATGATTTGTTCTGGATACAGATTGAAAAGGTGTGAAGACAGAATGCATCCCTATGTACTCCTTTCCTAATTTTGAACCATGCAGTGTTTTCTTGCTCTGTTCTGACGACTGCTTCCTGTCCCAAGTGAGAGTTTTTCATGAGCACAATCAAGTGTTTTGGGATTCTCATTCTTCTCAAAGTCAGCCACAGTTTGTTGTGTTCCACACAGTCAAATGCCTTTGCATGGTCAATGAAACACAGATAGACATTCCTCAGTTACTCTCTGCTTTCAGGCAAGATCCATCTGACATTGGCAATAATGGTATTTCTATTTGCAACTTTTTGAGAAAGCATCATACCGCCTTCTACAGTGGTTGCACCATTTTACACTCCCACCAGCAGTGAATAAGGGTTCCAGTTTCTCTACAACCTCACCAGCATTTGTTGTCTGCTGTTCTGTTAAATTTTGCTAATCTTAGTGGGTTGAGATGATATCTCATAGTTGTTATGTTACCTTCTTTTATGCATAGGAATAAATAAGAATCTCTTTTAGTCCGTTGGCCAGGTAGTTATCATCCAGATTTCTTGGCATAACTTGGTGAGCACGTCTGTTTGTTGAAATATGTCAATTAGTATTGCATCAGTTCCTGGGGTGGTTTTTTTATGGGTTGGGTGTGTGTGTGGTTTTGTTGTTGTTGGGGTTTTTTGGGTGGGTTTTTTTTGCCAATTTCTTCAGAGCAGCTCGAACTTCCTCACTTCATCACCATTGCCTCTTGATCATTGTTCTTTCATGAAATTCTTTTGTGTCAGCCAATTATTTTTGTACAGTAAGTCTGTATACGCCTTCCATCTTCTTTTTTTTAAATTTATTTATTTATTTTATTTTTTTCCCCTCCCATCTTCTTTTAATGTTTCCTAGATCATTCAGTATTCTGCCCATACCATCCTTAGGTATTGCAACTCACAGCTTGAATTTGTTCTTCAATTCTTTCAGCTTAAGAAATGCTGAGTGAATTTGGCGCTTTTGATTTTTCCAACTCCAGCTCTTTGCACATTTCTTTATAATATTTTGCTTTGTCTTCCCAGTCTGACCTTTGAAATCTTCTGCTCAGCTCCTTAACTTCTTGATTTTTTCACTTTGCTTTGCCTTATTGGTGGTCTAGTGCAATATTCAGAGTCCCTTCTGACATCCATCTTGGTCTTTTCTTCCTCCTGTTTTTGTAATAATCTTTTGGGTTCTTCATGAATGATATTCTTTTTATTTGTTTGTTTAATGTACTTTTTAAAAAAATTATATTGGTTGGCTTACAACCTTTGTATACATTGTTTCACACTCTCCATTCAAATTGTGTTTCATTCAATCATCATTCCTATGCATTATGTTTCATAAAGTTAATCACCATTGGACTATTCCCAC